ATGTATGTGTGTATGTTTGTACGTACGTATGTACGTACGCACGCACGCACGCAAGTCGACAAGACAGATTGCGCTAAGCTTTGAATTGCCTCTCCAAACGAGGCCTCACATTGCCTGCATCTTGCTCTCACATGCGACTTCCAGCGCAACAAACACTGCAACACAGCCGTTGCATCTCAAGATGCGCCGTTGCCGTGCGCGACTCTTTCTTGCCCTCGGATATAGTCTCCTCTGGTTCCTTCGAGCGTTCCGTTTGCTAGCGGAGTGCTACCTGCACGCTCGTCCCCGGCCGGCTCATTTCGCGCGTTCTCTTTTTGCGATTTTCTTTTTGACCTGCCTCCGCTTGCGTTGGCCTGTCCTAGGCCTACCCAAAGGGTCCCCGTAGCCCTACTCTTCAAGGCCTGTCGAACCCCATCACGTAGCCCTCTTCTGGGCTGGAGCCCTGTCTGTGGGCCTGCTCTTGTCCTGCTGTAGGACCAACGTAGAACCTCGTCTAGTGTCTACCGAAGGCCCACCCTGCTTCGGCCTTGGCATAGGCCTACCAACGCCCTTGCCCCAAGGCCTACACACCTCTCTGCCTATGCCCTCTCATAGGCCTATCGACCCCCTTGCCTGGACCCTCCTATAGGCCTACCAACCCCCTTGCCTGGACCCTACAACAGGCCCATGCACAGCCTTCCCCTCGGGAGATCTATGCCGGTCAATGATACTTTAGAGCCTCCGGCTCATTCTGCCGACTTCTGCTGCGGTCACCAGAATGAGTCGTGACATGTTCCGCTGATTTGGAAGACTGAACTATGTTGATCTCTGATGAGTGGTACATGTTTCATTTTGATGATTGGTATTTTGAGGATTGATAACTCTGATGGTTGCTATATATGTTTGACTTTGACACAATAGCGCCGGCCCCGGCGGCCAGGGCCGATTCGAACCCGCCACCCCCGGTGCCTCTGAAAAGATATCAGCCAAGAGCATGGATCACCGTCCGGTCAACCTTGCTGTTGGGCATGTTGGTGGAATTGTTAGTTGGAGCTGTCCTTGGAAAAGTTTGCGCAGGTATGTTTGTTGCTGCTTGGCACCCTTGGCCCTTGCTTGAAAGTGATCCTGAATTGGCAAACATCCCTGGATGCCCCAAAAATCAGGTCTCACAGGCCCCAACCCAACGAGCAGCCCGTACCAAGAGGGTGTCAGAGGTGAAGATCCATGGAGCCCACTTTCTCGGTCGATGCTAGAACTGGTTGAACTGGTTGGCAAGATTTTTTGGCTTGCAGGAGTGCCGCCCGGCTCCGTGTTAGTCGTGTACGAGGCAGCTCCAAAGCAATTTACGCAGATCCTTGGAGCAAACAGGCGCGCCAGCTTCATTGACTTGATTTCTTCTGTATTACTTCTTTTATTCATTCATGGTTCGTTGTTTGTTTCTCGTTGTTTGTTTATTCCTTTCCTTCAATCCTTCCTTTCTTCCTCTCTTCCCTTGTTCCCTTCTTCCTGTCTTCCTTCAAAGGGCGTGTAGTGCAAGACGCTTTTGTCAGTGGCATTTCTCCCGTGGTGTATTCAAGCCGGTCTTTGTTTGACTGCTTGACCAGGCTGGATTAACTACACGGACCACGGCGCATAGCCGGCCGTGTAGTTTTAACAAGGCACTGTCTTGCATTGTGGTTTTTAACCCTTGTTTACAAGGGGTTTCGCACATGTTGGCAAGATGACTCGATTATGCGTCAATTCCAGTGGGATGAGGAAAACATGTTTTTCCCCATTGTAAATCCATTCGAAATCGACACTTGGCAAATCCCGGCGTCTACTTGAAGAGTGCACTAGTTTCCTTCTTCCACACACCTCGATTCATATGTGACCGTGGCAGGCTGCCAGCTGCCATGGAGTAACTTATGCCAGGCAAACTTCCAGCTGCCACGCATTTACCTGTGCTTAGCAAGCTGCTTCAGATTGTTCAAAAATTGGACCGGAGAGACAGGCCCCATCTTCTGTCTATACACCCATTGGTTGCAAAGCTGCTGCACCAATGGGCTCATCTTGGTGTGCCCATTGGTTTTGCGCGCAGCTGCAAGCCTGCAAGGAAGCCAGCGTTTGAGTGACTGCCATGCCCTGTCCAAGCACTGCGTTCCCGCAAGGGTGCTGATATTGCGGGCATTGTGTGAGATGTGCTTAGTGAACTGCTTTCGCTGGTGAACCACACTCTCGAAGGCAATGCCTCTGCGGGCACAAGCAGCGGCCCATGCGGCATTGCCGTCGCCAAACATCATGAGCTTCTTGCGGGTGTTGAGCTTATTGAGCAAGTGAGAGGACTCGATCTGAGACCTGGATTCTGTGGGTGGGCGCCTGAGCAGTGAAAGCAAATGTAGCTTGCATCAGGTTTCAAGGCACAGAAAACAAAACCAAAAAAGACCGGCTTTAAAAGAAAGACAGTAGAATGCCCGGTTGGTATCGGAATCAAGCATTTGGAGGGCTCCTGGGGTTCAGGGGTTAGAAAAATATCATTGGTCAGGTCAAGGCGCACTCCTTTGAGGGCACACAGGGCTCACCGAGATGGATGATGGGCGTGCCGCCCCGAGGCTGCAAGCCCAGCACCATGACATAGGCCTTGTACACCCGAGGCATCTTCTTGACTGGCACTCCGTTCTTTCCGTCCATCTGGCGCAAGCGGTAGATCTGGTGGTAATAGTGTACGTTCTCAGCACTAATGTGGAAGGAGGTCAGGAAGCTGCCATCGCACTCCACATTGCCAGAGAGAGATGCCTCCTCGCAAATGCGAGCGCCCGCTTCGGCTTCAAGCTCTCGCAAGCATCCCACAAAGTGCTCCACGCAGGAACGACCCATCTTTGTCGCAGCCACCAGAGCAGTCACCTGGGGAGCAACAGCCAAATCCAACTCCGCGTAGGCCAGGAGCAGGCGCTGCACACCTTCTGGGCCGCAGCGAAGACCTGCGAAGATGCTCTTTGCCAGGAGCTCTGTGCGAGTGCCACATGAGCTGCATCGCCAGTGCGGGGATCTGTCCTTGGGGAACAGCAACCCTGACATCTTCCTGCTTCCGCAGCTGCTACACTCCTTCGGCTCCTTGACCCACCCATGCTTGCGGAGCCATGCCAGCGGCTCCTCCGCTGGAGGTTCCACCTGTCCAGCCACCCTGCGCCGGAGCTCCGCAGGCGAAGGTTTTCTGCCTGCAGTAGGGCCTGTGTAGGCAGCCCTTGCTTCTGCTTGATACTCCTTTCTGGTCTTATCGCTCTTGCGGGCTTTGTGCTCTGTCCGCAGGACCTTGTTGACAGGACGTTCTTTCTGAAGCAGGCGCAGCTTGCGCACAGCTTCACGATACGCCTGCGCGCCCCTAAGGTCACAACGCTCTACTCTGTGAGAGCTTGACCCGCACAGACTGCAGCGGTGCAGCTGCTTGTTCTGGCTTCTGGCGGAAGGTCGCTTCATCGGGTCCTATGCTTGGGCCACCGGTCACTGCAGGGCACACAGCTGCACTGGCAACGAAGCATTCCAAGGTTTCCCTTTAAAACCAAGGGGGAAATACAAACGTCACCCTACCAAGGTTTCCCTTTAAAACCATGGGGGAAAGACAGACTAGACCACAGGCGTGCCCGCTTGGTCAGTTGAAGGAGACGAGCCACGGAGCTTTTTGCGCGGCTCAGGAACTTGTCTCGTCAATGCCAGGATCTAGCAAAACTCATGGAGATGGTTTGCATCTCCTCTTTGATGTGCTGGGGGAGCAAATGTTTCAAGCCAGCCGGGAAGTCTACACGGTGCCAGCATCTTTGCTTGGCCTCCCTGCGCCACCAGCGGGCACACCTCAAAAATAACATGCCTCTCTGTGGCCCGCTTCTAGTTAAATGGGGTTGCAGACTGTTGCGGGGATGTATGGCGCAGCCTCCCCACTTGTACGAGTTTTGTCGCACAAACGGAACCGGAACGCTGTACCTTGCCAGGTTTCTCTCCTCCTGAAGGTCTGCCCAAACTTCTTCTGGGATTGCTGCTGGCTCATTCTCATCTGCAACTTCGTCCTGAAGCAGGGCTTGGCGCAGAGGAACAGAAACAGACTGAAGACAACGACATGTGTCTGCATCTGTCCGTATGTATAACAGAGGAACTATCACACCTACCTCCCCCAACATCAAGCACGTTAGTCATGAATCTCATCCATGTGCGAGCCACAATGTCCTCTAATGGCAACTCCGGGATCTCGTGCAAGTTCTCCACAGCTGTTTCATGGGCGTACCAAGTCTTGTAGTCCACTGTCCGTGGAGAGTCGTGGTGCGATATGGGGCTCGGAGGACGCTCGTTGGAAATGATCCAAAACCCCTTGTTGGATGGCGAAGCAGGGCATGGTGCATGCGGGGCAGAACTCGCTGCCGTGGACATGTCAATCTCGTCTGGCTGCACTCGGCACCTGGATATTGGGAGGGCTCCAGATTCAAATATAGTGCAAACAGAGTTTGGAAAAAGTCTGGGGTGGCAAACCATGGATGGCCTAAAATGAGTAACTCTGCCCAGGAGCTGTATTGTGTCTTGCTGGAGGTCAGTCACTGCGGCAGCTTTCCCAAGTACACAGGGCTCAGAGATGACCGGGCCAGGGCGTCGAAGACGTTGGCTCAGAACAAAGCAAGCACAAGCGCAAGCCAAAGGCAAAGGTGCCGGCGAAGAAGCAGCGTGAGAGGCCCACGCAGCACGAAGCACAGGCACCAGTAGCGGAAGTCGCGCCCAGTCAACTGGAGACCGATGACTGATCAAGCCTGTCGCCTGCGTGAAGCGCACAACAGGGTCAGCCGAGGCGTCCAAGGCAAAGATCTCTTGATGCGCGTCCAGCAAGCCAGGGTCAGCTGTAAACAGCACCTGCAGCAATGCCTCGTCCCTGCTAGAATGGCAAGGAGGAGGCCCTTGATGACACAGGCGCAACAAGATGATGAAGGTCAAAGCAAGCGCGCAAGCAGAAGCATCGTCCATAGCCCCCCAAGAAAACAAACTCCCCGGCTGCCGAGCCAACGGCAGAAGATGCGGCCTGTGAGCAAGGAAGGGAACACAGGAAATGTAAAAACCAAGGTTCCCTGCGGTGCCATTTTTTTTAAAACACGGGGGTCATGGTCAAAGCGGCCTTCCTTGGTCTGAAGCTACGCGGACTCTGAGACAAAGTGTGCATGCGTGTGCGTGTGTGCGTGCGCACGCGTGCGCCATGAGTGGCGTGTGTGTGCGTGTGTGGGTGCATGTCTGCACACGCATGCACCCAAGAGTCCACGATCTTCACCTGTGTGCACGCGTTGTTGCGTGTGGTGCGTGTGCGTGTGTATTATGCGCGCATGCTTCCCTCTCTCCGAAGCCTAACTTTACGAAGGAGAAGGCGGCGTTGATAATCATTCCCCCCCCCCCACCCCCCCGTCAACAAAATTACACGGCCGTCTGTGCGCCGTGGGCCAACTACACAGTGGCAAGACATAGACAACCAAAGAAATAGACAACAAACATGAGCAAACATGCAGACAAAAAGGAATACAGACAAAGATGCATCATATGAACAACACTGCAAGAGAAAATCAAATAAATGTGGTAAATGAAGGAACCATAACTAAATCCATAACTAAATCAATAGTGAACACACAAATCAACATAACAACAACAAATGCACAGCAAGAAAGACGGACATAAACCACACTACAGTTCATGAAATAAGGACCGAAGTCCATGAACAAAATAGCAAAGACAGATAAATAAAGACCAAACAACAGACAGAACAAACCACCGACAGAGAAAGAGAGGCAGAGAGAGAGAGAGAGAAAGGGCGAGAGAGGGAAAGAGAGAGAGAGAGAGAGAGAGAGAGGGAGAGAGAGACAGACAGACAAAGAGGGAGAGTAAGAGAGACAAAGAGAGAAGGGGAGGGAGAGAGGAACGGAGGGAGGGCGAAAGGGAGGCCGGAGGGAGGGAGGGAGACGCAGCGGGAGAGAGAGCGGAACAAGAAACGACGAGCGAGAGGGGGAAGGCAGAGAGAGAGAGAGAGGGAGGAGAGAGACGCAGAGGTAGGCCCGTCGTGTTTGCAAGGTCCTTGGCATTTGCTGCAGGAGCTAGACTTAAGTTTGTGGCCGCCTTAACTGAAGGCTGGTCAGTACTTCTTGGCTGGGCAAGTTGCCTGGGTCTTTTCACGGATGACTTCCATGTGATGATTTCTGGAGGTTACATTCTCCGTTTTATGCCCGGGTCGTCGATCCACAGCTTCCATTTTTCGAGAGAACAGAGACCAACCAATGTGTGGGACATTCCTCATCACTCCCTCGCACGAACTGACATGGGAATACACTTGTTGGCTATATAAGTTTGTCAGTGTAACAAGACTAAAGCAGTGTGATCTCAACTTCTTTACTGTGGGGGTCCATGTTGCCACAAGATAAACAAACCACTGTCCACCTTCCCAGGCAACTTGACCACGAGCGCTGTTTGAGTTTGGACAGCTTGGAAGATCAGCCCACGAAATTGAGCCTCATGATTTTTTGTTGGAATGCTATCTTGGCATGGGCAAAAGCAACTCTTTTAGTCTACCAGTGACTCAGTGGGCCCAACTGGCCCAGAATGCACCATGCTGTCGGCATTGTGGAGATGGTGCCGTTTTGCGTGTGGAAGCGTTGTTTAAGATCATTTGTTGGGTTCAGATTTAGGCCCAGGGGCAAACAAACAGAGAGCAGGGCGCACATTTTCGACAGGCTGACCTCCTCTTTTGCGAGCGTCCAAAACAGCAAGTCGTGAAGCAGAGCGTTATTCCAACGGAACTTGGACCGTCAGCCAATTGGATCAAACATCCAGGAATTGACCACATTGGTAAAGATGCGTGACATGAACTTTGACAAGTTGTGCTTCCGGCAAACTCAGGAGAACAAGTGACCCGTATCTCAACACATTTCCATGGCTAACTTGTTGTGCACTGAGGAAGGTTCTGGCTCCGCGCAACTTTGACACGCTGCTGGGCCAGGTGTGCGACCCTTCCCCTTCCCAATGCCTGAACAAAATATGCAGTGTCAATCAACAAACAGTCTCCTAGGCTTGATGATTGAATTTGTTATCTGTGAACTCGGCACCTTTGCGGTGCTTTCTGTGGGTTATTCCAGCCGTCTCGAAGCCAGACTGGACCAGCCCCTAGCAACTGGCTAGGGTCAGCGCATAAGGCCTAAGAAAAATATGTGACCTTCTGGCATGGTAAACACGAAGCCTTCCGACTGTTTGTGTGGAAAACAACTTGCACCCTGACTTTCCCATTTTGTCGGATGGACAGTACAAGTCATCAAGTGTTGTCTTTTTTCCATGGCAATATTGGCTTCAGAGTCCAGTGTTGTGTAATCCGTTTCCTCTCTAGTTATTTTGATGTATGGATCCTCATAGCCCGAATGTAGCCCATGGACACTAAAGATAAGGCAACAGTTTGGAGAATCTTAATTCAAATCTGTAGCTTCTTGCGTGGCACGAGTCTTTACGGGCTTCGTCACGGCTGGTCAAACATGTTCCCTGGCT